TTCATCAAGAGGAAATAATTACCAAATATGTGAAATAAAAATTGAGAAATCTGAAGAGATAAATGGATAGTTGTACAATAATACAGACTAAACTATCCTACTTTCAATAATGGATGAATAAACTACACAGAAGATCAATTAAAACTTGAACAATATTATCAACCAATTAGATCTAACATACATAGAAAATTCTCCATCCCACAACAATAAAGAGCAAATTCTTCTCAAGTATATATGGAAAATTCTTCAGGACAGGTTAAATGGTTTGTCACAAAACAAGACTCAATAAACTTAAAAAGGTTATAATTATACAAAGTATCTTTACCAATAATAACAAAATGAGAAATCATAAAACAAAAAAGGAAAATTCACAAATGTGGAACTTAAAGACCACATTCGGAAACAACTAATGGACTAATGTAGAACTCACAAGGGAAATGAGAAAATAATGAATGAAAATCAAAGTACAGCATATCAAGACTTTTAGTTAAAGCAGAAATAAAGAAGGTCTCAAATCAATAACCAAATTTTATACCTTAAGGAATTTTAAAAAAGACTAATTCAAACCCAAAGCTAACAGAAGAACAAAAACAGCAAAGTGAAGATAAAGAATAGAAAAACAATTTAAAAGCTATGCAAAACCAAATGTTAGTTCTTTCAAAAGACAAATTAGAAAAACCTTCAGCTACATGGATTAAGAAAAAAAAGACTCAAATTACTAAAATCAGAAATGAAAGTGGGAACATTACTGTCAATCTTACAGAAAAAAAATGATTTTAAGAAAATAGTAAGATAAATAAATGGTAGGCCAGTAGACAACCTAGATGAAATGGACAAGTTCTTAGTACAAACAGAAAATCTAAATAATCATGTAACAAGTTAAGAGGTTGAATAAGTAATGAAAAACCCACTAAAAAGAATTCCAGGACCAGATACCTTCATAATAAATTCTCCCATATATTTAAGAAATAATACCAATCCTTCTTAAATTGTTCTGCAAGAAAAAAGCACAAGGAATATTTTTTCACTTCCCAAGGGTAAGGGAAATGGCGAGTGACTGCTTACCAGGCATGAGGTTTTCCTTGGGGGTGAGGAACAAGTTCTGGAACTACTGTGGTAATAGTTGCATAACACTGTCAGTGCACTTAATGCCACTTTATTATACACTTTAAAGCGGTTAAGTGGCAAATTTTATGTTGTATGTTTTTCACAATGAAATTTATTTTTCTCAGTTTTAAAAGCTAGCCATGAAAATAACATTCTATGAATGTAATATATAAAATGTCCAAAAGAGAAAGTAGAAGAGTGTTGCTTAGAATTAGGAGAACTGGTTGTGAAAATGGGAAGTGACTAGAAGTGATCACAAGGTTTCCTTTTTAGGATAATGAAAATGTTCTAAAATGAGGTTGTAGTGATAGTTATACAATCACTATAAGCTTACTAAAATTTAATTGTCCTCTTAATATATGTAAATTTCATGGTAAATAAATTATTTCTCAAAATGCTTTTTAAAAACTAGATGAATGACACTCAACTGATGAGGAAACATATCAACATTAGCTAAATACCAAGCACTGCACATTAGAGCAGACAAAATCCCACATGCAGTAAAACTATTAGCTAGCAAAACTGACAAAAAGACAAAGTGAACTCATCAGCCTTTAGAATTTGTCAGAAACACCATCATTTTCTTTGCTATAGTCAAATGACTGAAGTTCAATACAAAAATTAAAAAGTTCAAAGACAGTAAGGAAAAGATATGCTATGACCAAGTTATTAATACTCTATGCACTAGCTTTATGCATGCTATCTTTGCCTAAAAACACAGAATGTATTCTGTGAAAGGCATAAATAAAAGGTCTACATAGAGATTCTATATAATGTGCTTAACTCTTAGCAGAAGTGTTTGTTTCTTACTGCAAAGACTGATTTTCTCTTCCATATAGCATACTGTACGGATGGGGCTTTTCTTTCTATCATTTGCTTTTCCTTCTTTTTATGATTAGATACAAAAACCTAGAATCAAACAGTGGATTATAAGTTCCATCTCCTAAAACATCACACTCATGTTGTGAGATGGAGAATAGTCCCTTCCTTCTGAACATCCCTCCCAATTTATCCAATTTTAAAGAAAAAGAGGGAAAGGTTAAGTTTTAAGGGTGGTGGCATGGTTAGGCCTTTAGCCCAGTTTTTAAATTTGCTATGATATTACAGTTGTTTCAGTGATATATGTAAGAACAGGTAAATGAAAACCCTCATTTCATATATCATGCTGCCATGGAATACCCATCAGAGCCAAAAGTTATTAGAGGGAGCTGAAGGTATCCTGAACTTAATTTCTTTCTCTATCACCATATTTGCTACTGAAAGTGTCCATGAATTATAACTGGTTAAAAACAGTACATAAGGGCCAGGGATTTAGCTCAGTGGTGCCGCACCTGCCTTGCAAGCGCAAGGTCCTGAGTTCAATCCTCAGTACCAATAAATAAATAAATAAATAAATAAATAAATAAATAAAATACAAAATAAAAACAGTATGTAAGGCAGACTGTTTACACGAAAGTTGTTTTTTGGAAACATTTTATAATGACTGGTTCACAAAGCAAATTTGTGACATAAGACAAAGTAATCGTATTATTTCTATATTATTTTATGGATAAACAGACATGACTTCCATAAAGCTAGATACCCAATCAGAGATAGCTAGAATGGCAAACTATAACCTAATTTTTCAAATAGCATTAACATTTTATGAGAACACAACAATGTTCACTCATTTATGTATACTTTATGACTGTTTACATGCTATAATGGCATAGTTAAATAGATAAAACACAGACCTGTGGGCCACAAAGCTTAAAATATTTACTATATGGTTCTTTATGAAAAAAATTTCCAATCACTGCTAGAGAATTAAAACCCAGTGCCATTTATCACACCACATATCCAAATATTTCCTGTGTCAGGAATAGAACATCTGACATAAGAATCATGATGTCAAGAGAACACAGTGTTAGAAACAAAGACCAAACCAAACCAAAACAAAGATTTTTTTTCTTTGGTTGTGTCATTTGTTATGTAACCCCGGGTAAGTAACTTCACTGCTCTTGACCTTAGTTTCCACACATACAAAGTAAGGGATTTAGGCTACATGGATACTAATTATCTGTCCATTTAAATTATTATAGTCCATACTACTTATTTACAGATTAGGAAGCAGTAGTGAAGGTATAAAAATTCATAAATTGTATTTTGCTTTTATTTTTCCTTGTAGACAAAAAAAGCAGTAAGGTACCTTAAATCTCATTATCATTATCTCATTATCATTACAACTACCTTATAAGAAGTATTATTTTGATTTTATAGGTGAGGGAACAGGATCCAGAAAGGACAGTGAACTATCATAGGAAAATATTTTATAAATCTTTATTGAATTATTTTTAATTGAAACATCAGTGAATTAGAATAGACTGATACTTCAAGTTCAGTATGAACTCTTCTTATTCAACTTTAATTTTTTTATTAGTAGATGTTTGGGTACATAATGATTATAATACTCGTGGGGAAGGAGTACATTAACATAACATTTCAATTCTTTTTTTTTTTTTTGGTACTGGGGATCGAACTCAGGTCCTTGCACCTGCGCAGCAGGTGGCGAAACCACTGAGCTAAATTCCAGGCCCCAACATCTCAATTCTTAACTAAAGTAATGGACAATAAGGAGAGATCACAGCAGTATTCAGCAGGACTATCTCATTGTCCATTTATTATTCTATTAGAAATACTCATAGTAAAAAAAATTGTTTCTCCTTATTTCAAACCCTCTAGTGGAAGTATTCATAAATGGACAAAGCACACATAGGTCAAAGAAAAATGACAGATCTTAGATAATATTAAAATAAAAAACAAATCTGTTCTTAAGTAATTGAAATTGGCTATATTTACATGATGAGAAATTCCAACCACAATTAATTCACACTGAAGCTTTTAAAATGATAGAAGTGGGTAAGATTTATTGGTCATAGCTTTTAAGACAGATATGACAATTAAGAAATCTAAAAAACTACAGAAAGCTGGTTGAGAAGACTGATTAAGACAAATTAAGCTGTACTTAAAGTAAAGCTCTGACCTACTGGTGGTTAGCATTTTTCCATTAAAAAAGTCAGAATGCTGGTAATAGTTTATTACTGTATTTGTCTTTTTGAAGTAGACATGAAAAAGGTAGGAGAAAACTGGAGAGGAAAAAAATGATGAGTATTTCTTGGGAATACTTTTCACCTTAGTGAAGTAATTGCAACAACAATTATTCCTCCACGAGATATTATCATTTGGAATCTGATTTAGTGGGCTAATAATTTAAAAGTTTAAATGAAAACATTAATATGGTACTGGGAAAAGAACTTCAGATAAAATGAATTCACTATCCATGTTGACCTCAATCACACATTTTAAAGGTGTCTTCCCACTGTGGGAAAACATGCCCAAAACAAAAATGAAATTTTAAACAACACAAGATTAAAACAGTATGCTTAAATTCATGACATAACTAGTAATATTCTGTTAGAATATTGTAACATGTTCAAGGCTAAGAATTTTCCCCCCAACTTTGTAAGTTTCTCTCCCTTGAGCCTTTTTTTCAGATCAGAAGAAGCTCTCCCACATACCTACAGGTTAAAAATGTTTTAAGTCATAGTCTTGGATTTTGACAAAAGAGTAAGTTCACTTGTATTTATGCTTACTTAAGTACTCTGATTATACCACATTTATTTAGAATGATGGGAACTCATATTAAATGATAAAGTATTGATAAAGGTTATACAAATGACTTAATCTCTCTGCCCTTGAGTTTATCTCTAAAATAAACTACTATTGGGACTACTATAGAACTACTATAGAACTAAAAACAAATCATGTAAAGTATACTGAAACAGTTCTGGGCACATAGTGTTAGATAAACATTAGCTCTTATTATTGTTATACAATAAAATGGCTATACTCACTCTTTTGTTGAGACAAATAACAGGCCACAGGCTGCAACCCAGTGTGCAACAGCAGCAGAGACATCCACAAAGCAGCCATTTCACATTGACTGGGAGAGCCTTTTTCAAACATGAATTCACACGGCCAATGCTGGTCTTAAATTCTTCTGGAGCTACCTACAACAAGGGCACTATCTTTAACAGTTTGTGGGAAGCTCCCCACTATTTATCTCTAAATCTAAGGAAAAATGTCCTATTACAAATACTTTAAGGAATTTCAAATGTCTATTTTTCTCCCCTCTGCACCCATAAATATGTATCACATTCTTGAAAAACATTGGAAAATAAAACAATTTCATATTCAAAGATCTTAGCCTGATGTTCAAAAATAATCTTCTTAAATGACTAACAATAAAATGACAGCAATAAAATTAATGGTTAAGGATACTCATTAAGCAGTTTTGTTACCAAATATTCTCAATATTAAGGCAATACTGTTTATAGTCTTTAGGTACTCTGATTTAAAGTTAAGTAAGAGTAGAAGCATAAAGCAATAAAAACTCAAATACTTCCAGAAGAAATGGAATTAAAATTAGACCTTAGCAATATTCCTGGACTACTTTTTAAAAGGCAACTCTTAAACATTTTCTCGAAGGCAAATTTGCTACACAATAATTTTAACATTTGCCATTGTTTGCAGGGAAATGTTATACTAACAAGATAATGCCTAGCAATTATATTTAAAGCAGCCTAATATTATTCAGCATAAAACAGGTATTTGAAAGTTGACATATACAAATTTGAAATTTACAAATTTAAGTTAAAATATACAAATTTAATATTTCTAGTTACCGCTCCATTCCTGGAAGTGGCTGCTTGTGATTCGTTGTGAACAATGAGAAAACTAAAGACATCATAACTAGATTTACACCCAAAATTCTGCTTGAAGACTATACAATTCAAAGACATACTAAAAATACTTTGCTTTCAGTAAAATCATATTTCTGGATCAGAAATCTGATTCTCCTTTACTTAGAACATGGTCAGATTTTTACATTTATGGGAAAAATTTTTAGCATCTGGCTGTAAAAGGAAAAATTATGAAATTGTTAAGAAAATTAAGCTACTGTACAATAAAAACCCAACTGGTATGTTAGGTATCAATAAATATAGGGCTTTATTCTCTCAAACAAAAAAAATTGTACTAGAAGAATCAATTTATTACATTTTCATCTTTTAGTAGAGATGCCTTATAAGCAACACTATAAAATATATACTTATTAGCTGATGATGTAAGGATATATGATCACAGACTTCAGCACTATTATGATAAAAATATTAAGTATATAAGCTTTATTTGATCTGTTTATGTTACCCAATAAGCTTAATTGCTTAGTCCAATAAATCTTTCTTCCTAATAAACAACACTTGTGGAATTGTAAAGATTAAAATGTAGTTTGGACAGGACAAGTAAATTCGTTTCATTCTCCATTTAGATTGTCAGCAACATGATCCAATGACAATCACTGTGTACACATAATTTCAATTAAATGACAAAAATCTCTGGGGAAAATATAAAAATAACTTCAGAGAACCATTCCTTATAATTGAAAATAGAAAATACTAACAAGCTAAGTACACTAGATAATAAATGAAGAGATCTGGATTCAAGTTCTTATTGGTTAAGAAAAATCCCAGAAAAAATCATTTAATTTTTCTTAGCTTCAATTTTGCATCTATAAAACAGAAAAAAGCTTTTGTTTTATATACTGAGAATGGAAATTATATCTTATAAAGAACTTCGAAACTAGAATACTTTGAAAAAGGGAGTTTATACATCATGTTTCTGAATAGATTTGGAGAAAAGAAAAGCTCACTTTTGTGTGGACTTGGACCTGAGGAAAGGAGTTTGATTATATAATTAATACTCTACAATTTTACTATATATGATAAACCAAAGGATAATGTGCTACATTTGAATGTAGATTCATTGCTCTTCAGTTCTTCAGAGAAGATGTTCTTTTTCTTTTCCTTTCTTCTTCCTTTCTTTTTCTTTTTGGGGTGCTAAGAATTGAACTCGTGGTCTTGTGTATGGTAAGCACACATTCTACCGTAGTGCTGACCTATATTGCCAGCCCTTTCACATTCTTTATAAAAACAAGATACCAAATTGTTAATATGGTAAGATTCGCCTCTCTAAAAATGCAATATTCAACTTCTTTCTTCCTAGGGAACTACTGAGTAACCAAGTAGAAGTTTAAATAAAGAAAAATATGTTTATAGATTTACCTCTACTAATTTGTAACAACATTACTATCAAATCTCTTTAAACTGTGTATCCAGAATCAATACCACACTTTTTAAAATGTTAAATTACGATATAAACTCATGCACATCATAAAATTACTAGCTCTGCCCATTAAGAAATAAAAGGACTTAGAATTTAAATTTTTATTTAAAAGTCAGCACAAGTACAGATGAAAGATATTAAAAGTAAAGGGTGAGGATAAATGCAGAAATGAGTCGGTCTGAAAGAAAAAAAAAACATTTACAAGGAGTCTTAGAAAATCAAATTCTAGGCCGGGCATGGTGGCACAGGCCTATAGTCCCAGCACTCAGGAGGCTGAGGCAGGAGGATCTCCATGAGTTCAAGGCCACCCCGGGCTACATAGTGAGTCCAAGGCTAACCTGAACTACACAGAGAGACTGTCTCAAAAACAAACAAACAAAAAGTTGGCAAATTATTCTCACTAGGAAAGAATAGAGTTAGAAATGTGAGGGAAACTAAAATTAGGAGAAAAAAAGGAAAGATGGAAAGGAAAACTGGCTTTTTATTTAAAACGTTGTGAATGAAATACATTATATGTCAAGGTATATAAAATTTGTTATGTGTCACTCTAAATGCTTCTGGAAGTGCAAAGAAAAATTCCTAAAATGTGGCAATTTTCCTTCTTTATCACCATCACTTTCCACTTACAACAAATAGTCTGTCTGTACTCTTCTCATGGACAAATAAAAAACTAAAATATTCTAGTTACTAAAAATGAGGATTCAAATTTTTGAAGTCATAAGACAAATACAGTGAAAAACTTTTAACAGAATGTCAAACAACAGATATGCATTTTTTCTTTAAAAGGAGACCAAAATTATCTGAACAAAACCTGTATTTGAATTACAATAAAGGTCATAAAATAGAGACAAAGGTATAGGAAATGAGAATTAGTTAACTCTCAATTTTAAATGATGTGAAATAAATGTTCAACTGTGTAGAATCAGAATTAAATAACATTTTACTCATTTACTTCCATATAACTGAGTATCTCTAGTAACGTAGGTTAGCTGGAAGCCACTTACTTTAGTAGGTTGTAAAAAAGCATTTCATTACTTTAACTCTTAGAAAAAAAAAAAAACCATAAAGGTGAGGGAAAGGGTTGTAATATTTTACAACAGGAAGCAGGAGATGCTGCAAACAGAAGAAAATCTAAGCAAAACCCAGCAGGACTGATTTCCTGCTTCAGTTGTGGGGAACACAGCCCTGTCAATCACTTGCCATAAATAGTAATGGTCAAATTTTATGGCTTAAGATTCCCAACATTGCATATTAATCTCCCAATAATACTGTAGTATTCAGTTGTTTCAAAGTAAGGGCCGGACACTTTAATTTCTTTTCCAAACTTCTATGGTTCTTTCATTTTCTGATTACCAGAACCCATGTGCATATATTCCTTGATATGCTCTAACATGATAGGAGGATTTATCTTTAGTGAAATAGTGAAAACAATCTTTTCTGAACCTAATAAAAGATTATGAACATTGAAACAAAAGAAGCAAAAAATTAATACTGAGCCACAAAGCTGGGCAAAAGACTTTTAAGGTTTTCAGAATTCACTGTGCAATTTTGCTTACTTCAGGCAGACATAAAAGCTATGTAGAAATTCACTCATGCTTAGGAAGACTGATTTTAGAAGAACAGTTTTTTTATATTTCAGCTATTGCATTTATTTATTTGAAAATATTTTAACCCAAGGGTTATAAAGACTGGAATTCAGATGGGTTTTTTTTTCCTTTTTTGTTTTTACATTCCCATAAAATCTCTTATCCCAGTTACTGGGGAATCATTTTGAGAATCCAAAGAAACCTATACAAATGAAAGTGCCTACTGGTAAAAAAACTTTCTCATTAAAAAGAAAAAAGGAATAAAATTAATGTTACAGCCGTATGATTTTTTAAAAAACTTTATTTTATTGGTGCATTTTAGGTATACAATATAATGACATTCATCATTGGAAATTTGCACCTTTACATAACCTCTCTTGGTTCTTATTTTTTCCCCCTTCCCCTGCCCTAACTTCAACCCCTCCATTACACCCTATTTACAAAGACTTTGTTTCCATTTTTTCATTTTCTCATATTAATTCCATTCCCTTCTTTTTTTCCCCTATTTGTTCCACTTCCCCATTGCCTTTGCCCCTTTTCTTCCTATTTCACATTATTTATTATACCTTTTAGTCCTTATTTACACTTTCAGTTTCTCACACTAGAGAAACTACTCAGTATATACACGTGTGTCCTATTTATTATACTTAAGAGTATGACTTCAATGTGCATCCATTTAGCTATAAATGTCTTTAATTTTTCATTTTTCATGGCTGAGTAGTACTCCATTTTATTTTTAAAACTCCACATTTTCTTTATTCAGTCACCAGATAATGGGTATTTGGGCTGTTTCCAAGATTTAGCTATTACAAACGGTGCTGCTATGAACATGGGTGCACATATATCATTGTGGTATGATTCTTGTAATTCTTTGGGGAAGATACCCAGCAGTGGAATAGCGGGGTCAAATGGGATTTC